TAAATATTTATTTATTAAAAAATCAAATAAATAGTTATCAATTTTAAACCTAAATTAATTTTATTTTAAATTTAAATTGAAATTATTTTAAAACTCATAATGTCTCTACGATACCATAAATAAAAAATTAAAAAAGGAATTTTCGAGGGTATGCAATTTGTCATACATGAAAGTATGAAGGGGAAAAAATTTTTTAAACTAAGGGGGGCGGGGAAGACATTTAATGTTTTTTTAAATTTTAAATGTTTGTCATGACTTTCCCTTTAAATGCCGTAAGTTATATCCCTTTACGATTTAAAAATTACTTTTAAAAAAAAACAAAAACTATTTAAAATTTACATATGTTATACATTTTAAATAATTATTTTTTATTTATTTTTTTTATTGGGAAAATTTTATTTAATTTTTATTAATCACATTATAAATTTAATTTGTAATTTAGTTTTCCGATTTGTAATTTATAAATAATATAACATAAACGAAATTATAATTTTTATTTGAAATAAAAATGTTTTTTTTTTATTATTATTTATATTGGCCTCCAACAAGAACAATCAAATTATTATAAAAATATAATTTTCAATTATTAAAAAAATAGTACTTTAATAAAAATTAACAAAAGTACAAACGAATATGTACAATGATAACAAAATTTTTTTTTCACAGAATCGAGTATTCAAATTTAAATATAAATTAAATTTTTTTTTTTATTATTTTACAACAAGTACATTTTCAAATACTGAGAGCCTCCATTTTTTTCTTTATACCACTGATATCCTTATCAATTTTTTTATTTTCCTCAGGAATTTCAATATTTTTAGGCACAGGAGGTGCTTTTTCTAATAAAATTTCATTTAGCTCATCTTCCAAGTTTTGTTCATCATTTTTATCTAATGGTTTCGATAATGCTTCTTCCACCTCATTAATTTTATTCAATTCATCTTCTAATTCTTCCATTGTGCTTAAAACTGTTTCTTCATTCAATCCAGTTTCTTTAAAAACTTGTTTCAATGCCACAATACCAGATTGATAGCATTCAATTACTTCACTGTCTATTTTCGCTTGATCAATTTTATTAAGTAATGTTTCGACATTTTCTAAAGTTATCATTTTTTTTTCAATTGATTTTTCAATTTCTTTTTTTCTTCTAAGAGAAATTATTGCCTGTGGGAAAAAAATAATAAATGAATAAATTTTATGCAAAATGCATGCAACTCTTTTTCATATTTTAGTTACCATATTTTTCATTTTCGATGAAAGATAACTTTTTGTTTTTTCCAGAGCAGCATTTCGTTCATTTTCCAATTTACTAATGTAATTTTTTAGTACTTCCTGTTGATTTTCTAAATTATAAATCCCTATGTCAATATCTGATATTTCCACTGATTTTTTTTCATTTTTCGATAATTTTACTAAAGACTGATTTTTTTGAGTACAAACAGCAGCTAGTTTTTGTTTTTGTAACCAAGTTAATATAATTAACAAATCATCATTATTTTCAATTTTTGATAATTCTCCTAATTTCTCAAATTTTATTAATTTTCCTTGTGAAGATTGAGCTTCTTTTAAAAGATTTTTACCTAAAAACTAATAATAAATTAAGATGAATGTATTGAAAAGAGCTGATTATAAAATAACTTTTTATATATAACTCATATTTACTTCTAAGACAGATATATAAATAAAAACTGCATCTTGTGTGTCTTCTTTTCCAATAATGTTTGATTTTATTTTACTAAAAGTCCACTTTAATGGATTGGCGAAAAGCATTTTGTAAGCCCAATATTTCCAGCTGTCATCCTCGACGAGAAAGTCATTCTTGAGAACAATGGTTCCTGTGCTGTAAAAAAATTACTAAAATGTAAATATAATTATTTCAGTAAAATAAATAATTAATTTTTAATAAAATAGGTGAGAAAAATTAAAATACTTTTTTAAATGTTCAACAACTTCATCAAAGCAAGCTGGAACAACCCCTTTTCTGGAAAATTTACTTTTTAAATTTTGAG